AAGGCCATCAGGCCCACAACCAGGAAACACAACCGACGGCGACGGGTGGTCACGAACATTTCTTAGGGCTTCGTCTTGTGTACTTTTCACGAAAAAGGCGTCTATTTGGGAGAACAGACTTGTACTCGTTTCTGTCTGTCCCAGGGACCAGAAACCGCCCCATGTCAGTCGCAGCCGGCGACCGCCAGGCGGGCACGTTTGTTCTGGTGAGATCCGGACGCGCAGGGTCCAGAGCGGGTGTTCCCAAGCAGGCTCGTGTCTGAGGCTCCCTGTGCCCGGCAGGCCGAGGACCGTGCCCGTGGCCCCCACCCAGAGCTGGTGGCAGGGGGTGGGGCTGACCTCGAGCACGGTCCTGTGGGCGCGTGCAGCTGCTGGGCCCGGTCCGCAATGTCAGTGAGGGGCCCAGACACACAACCCTGTGTCGCAGGACAGACACGAGGCAGGGCCACGTCCCCATTTCTCCAGGGGACACGTGAGCCCCTGCGGCCCAGACCCCCTGCTGCAAAATCGCAGCTTGTCGGAAAGACTTCTCTGCACAGCGGGACTCACGAGACACCGTGCAGGACACGCGTGCTCGCTCCGGGAACCGCCGGACAGGAAAGCGGGCCTGGGGGCCTCCTCGGCGGAGGCGGCAGACCAGCGGAGCGCGCCTACCTTGTCATACAGCATCCAGCCGATGTACTTCAAGTAGTTGTTGTCCAGGAACAGGTCCGGGTAGAGCTTGATCCAGCATCCGAGCTCCGCCACGCAGATCACTCGGATGTCCGAGCTGATGTCGCTGCGAAAGCGAAGCCAGAGGGTCACTGGGACGGCCAGGCCGCGTCGCCCACGCGGCAGGGTGCGCTTGTCGGCACGGGGCTGAGCCAGGCCTGGTCACGGGGCCAGGCGGGGAAGACGCGCGGCCCCGAGGCCAAGCCTTACCGGTAGCGAGGCACGAACGTCCTCTTAAAGAGCGCGCAGATGATGTTGTCGATGGCCACGGGCTTGCTCTGGTGGAGCGGGAGAAGGCACGGGAGCGTCAGGCAGGAGAGGCGGGCTGCGGGCCTCCGCAGAGCTGCGGCCACCAGGCCCAGCGCGGCCCGCCGCGTGGTCGCCGCCCACCAGGCATTAGCATCCTCTACGCGGATGGTTCTGCCCCCGCTGGGACTGCACACCAGCCCGCCGGCCGTCTGTCGCCTGAGCTGCTGGGCGGCTCCGTGCACGCTGGCCTCACGCATGCGCACATACGGGGGCAGGGTGGGGGGTGGTGAAGGGGG